GAGAATTTCAAGAGCTGTTTTACAATTTAAATGGTATTTTCTTATTCAATCCGTTTCAGCCTTGAATTTAGCCCATTCTATTTATTCACATTATTGGCATAGAAATAAATCTGTATCTCAATCTCCTCTCTCTAGCCTTGAAGAGCCACTACAACTGTTACTGAGAGACCCAAACTTTTCCTGTTAATCCCATGAACAGAATAGCTGACATGGATTATTTTGGCTTTTGGCTCTTCACAGCTGTAAGACACTAACATTTGGCTGAAAACTCTTACAGTGGACTGTGATCCAGGAGTCCCAAAAGAGACACCTGACAGTCAGAACCAAGGTTAAGTTGGAAGAGCTGCCTGTTTAAAAATGTGTCTTTTTGGAATGTGAGCGAATAAATGTGACTTGGAAGTTCAGAGGCTTTGGTGACACAGCAGCAGAATATGTACAGTCATCTGGCTAGAGCAGCATGCAGAATTGACTAATATACCTTATTTTTATGGAAGCTGAATGTGAAATACAGGAAAAAGACTGATCCTGTCCTGTGCAGCTGTTACCATAAGTACTGGAAAGTGCTGCAAAAACCCTCTTCTAAGTTTAGAAAACTAGCACTGGCATGTCAGTCAAATTTTTCCTGTATCGTCATCGTGGGTGAGAAGTAGTAACAGGAATATTTTGATGTGCACTGCTTGGTCCATGGAAATCCCTGGCTGTGCATTTTAATACAGGTACTAAATTAATACCTAAACCAATGTTTTGCAAAGCAAACACCAAAGTTTGGTGAGCTTTACAGAGTTTGTCAAATCTTGTCATGAGTGATTTGTCAAATACTTTAGGGCACAAACCCAAACAAATAATCAAATAAATCACAGAAATATTATCCAATGAACTCTGCCTGTATGAATTAGTGTCATTCTGTTATGTTTCAAAACAGCCAAGCTTCACTAACTATTTAAAGAGACTAGAAGTGAGATGAGTTCAGTGGGAACACAGAATGGTTATCTGCCCAGTCTGAGAGTACATCTCAACTGGGACCAGTTCCAATAGAAGAACAAGAATCCTATAACCAATACAATCCCAGTCAAATGTAACGCAAAACTCTCTGGAGCCATCAATATGGTAAAAAGAAAAAAAAATCTTTAGTAGCCTGAGAAATGAAGATGCATAATTAAAGATTAAGGGAAAATAAAGGAACTTTGGAGACCTTTCATTGTATGAGCTTTAACTGCATGGACACCTTCCAATTACTTTTAATATACCCTCAATGCTAAGTTGCACTGAAGAGCACTAGGAATGCAAAAGGTGTATGCTAAGAGCCACTAACTCAAATATGTTATATTAAACAGGAAAGACGTATCAATAAATACTCAGAGAACCCATAGACTGACTAAAGGACTAAAAGACTGAGATCATGGAAGTTTCTAGTCAGATCACAGGCCTCTGAATTGCACCTCTTACTCCTTGTACTGAGCCTATAAAACTCAATGTTATCTTTCTCTGACCTGAGCAGTTAGCCAGAAATCCAGATTCCATTGAGTAGTTTAAGTCTGAAAGAAAGAGAAGTTGATGCTAAAATCCTATTTATAAAAAAAAAAAAAAAAAAAAAAAAATTACAAAAGCTTCTTTCTTTTCTTCTGTACAACAAATATCAAATGTGGTGAGATGCTATCTTTCCTTGAAGCTCTGAGCTCTTTTCTAATCAGCACTTATCCCATCCTCTCTCTTGGCTTGGCAGTGGGCTGTGTTCCCAGTTTGTGTTCTGGCTTTGGCTGCTGCTCTTTTAGTCCATTTTTTTTTCCACCTACATTTCAGACACATAATAATTCACAGATGTCATTAAGCCAACAAAAAACTATCTAAGAAAGAGTTAGCATATTTGTTCTAATAATTTATCTCTTTTTTGGTATGTGTTTGTTTTTTTTGGGTTTTTTTAGTTTTTTTGTTTGTATCTTCCAAAGAGATAGCAACTTTTTCCAGAAGGTATCCTGATATGAAGACATCAGGAGACTGAGTCTTTTCCTTCCCTTGGCAGGTTATTCATATGGTTAATCACCTTCACTAGCAAATATCTGTGCTTAATCTGTCACCTGATTTTTCTCAAGAACAGTTTTTGGCTTCTGATGTTTTTATTCTTTCTTTACTACATTTAAAGGCCTTCAGTAACTGCTGAGTCCTTCTTGTGAAAGTACTTATACACTATGATTAATTAATTAATCTCTTGGCATGCTTTTTGATGAACTAAATAGAATGAGCTCTTTAACTCTCGCTGTAAAACATTTCCTTCACTATTCAGTTTCTGTGACTCTTACCTTTGCCAGTTCATCAATGCTGCAAAATGTGAACACCAGAATTGAAAATTAGGTATTATTTCTACTGGTATCCTGTACTGAGCTTAGCCACTCATTTCTGCTCTGCTTTTCTGCATTAGTCTTCTGGTTATACATGCAACAGCTAAATTAACTTCTTTGCAGGAGCTCTGGGATTCATGCTGAGTTACTTATCCAGTGTAGGCTTTACAGTCTTTTTGGAAGGCCTCTGCTTTCAGTGATGTTATGACACTTCCAGAGTAATGAAGTTCTAAAGCTTAAATGGTTGGGAGAAAAAAAACCAACTCTGCTGAGTTGCTTAAGTTAAGACTGATAACTGGTGTAAACTAGCAAGTGCACAGCTCTGAGTTTTCCAGTAACAATTTGCAGTGAGCTGCTGTGTACTGAAACAGCTCTGGTCCGTCTTGCATGTAAAACTGGGAAGCTTAGATGTCCTACAGAAGGCCTTGACACAAATATCCATGGCAGTGAATTGTGGTCTAAGCAAAATCTTATTCCATTGCAAAGGCTTTAAAGAAACCATACTGAATAATCAGCCTGCTCAATCACTGACTGGAGAAATTTCCTGACTTCAGGGTCATGACCTAATTTGCATTATTTTTTGAAGTTAGATTAAGAGAAAAAGGAACACATCTCTCATTACCACCAAGGAAAATATATAGCACTATACAATGAAGTGGCCAAAGGATAATATAAATTGGAAAACCAGGAGATTACTCCCTAGGGACCTAATTTTTTCTGTGGGTTATTGCAGCAAGAAAAACTGATTTGTTTCTTTTAAATGTCTATTAAACATCTGGACAAACTATGTGCCAGGTGTGACCTAAATGTAAGCTAAAAAGTTGGGGGGAAGGCATGGTCCCACAGTTTCTATCACCAACTCCATTGTGCTAAATGGGAAAACAAAGTCCACCATTTTCACCTCTGGTCTGGAAATATAAGCCCTCAAATCTGAGTAATAGCCTTTTCACTGGGTCTTCCAATTATCTATATGAGCTTTTAGTTTTTTCACTCTGTATTCTGGACTATGGCATGGAAAATGGGGCTAGGTAAAAAAGATAACCTACACAAAGATTTGATGTCAAGATGAGATCATTTGGGTAATTTCTATTTTGTCCCATTCTTCCATATGTAATCCAGAATGTGCAACTGGTCCTCTCCACAGAACTTTCAGGCTAACTCCATTGTATTAATTTGAATAGGAAATCCTCATAAGCATTGCAATTACCATTCAGATGTACCTATATTTTAACAGAAGTAATAATTCTGTTACTGATTGTGTGATGAAATGCACACAGGACCTTTTTTTTTCTCAGAGGGAGAGATCAGAGATACATATAAAGCTAAGTTAAAGTAAAGCTAAAAATGAAGCTAAGTGTATGGCTCTTCATCTGAAAGCTGCTTTATCCACATTCTCAATCCCCATTTTATTTCTGACAAAGCCTCTCTGAAATCCATGGCTTTGACAGAATTGAAGCAATCCAGGTTAGACTCAGTTTGAGGTATGTATTTAGCCATTTTTTTTAAAAAAAAAGAGTTGGTACTTGATGTATTACCTTTTTGTAGAATGTATGTTGGAAAACAAAAAGATTTACAACAATTTAAAGTGCAAGTTCATGAGATTTACAGACTGTATACACTGATTAGTATTTGAGCTTATTTAAAAGGGTTTCTATGGGCTTTGCCAGGATCATATATTTAAAAAAAATCCATATCAAAGTATTGTTATTAATACCTTTGATTTTTTTAAAAAGTACATTACAATTTAGAATTCAAAATAGAGTAAATTTCCACTCTGGAACAGGCAAATTTATTTTGGCAGTATCAGAATCAGGGTTGAAAAGGGTAAGATACATCAAGTTAGTTTCAAACAGGTAATAGATAAAAAAAATTCGTATAGATGGGCAAATTTTTTGGCATATAATACAGATATGGCTGACAAAATTCACATGGTTTGCTAAGTGTGTAAAGTTACTTTGTCTGAAAAAGAAGTAGAAAAAAGAAAAAGTGTTAAAGTGAAGAATTTTTACTTCTGAAGCACTGTCTGACCCTGGTTTCCTGCAGTGGGTGGCAAGAAAATTAAAGAAAGAACAAGTTACTTCTGGCCAAACTCAGCCATAGAAAGGAAGGGTCCTCGAGGAGGGAGCAGGGCAGGTTACCCAGGAGAAATACAGAGACACTCAAGGTAAATTCAGAGGGGAATGCTTAGGGAAACCAAAGGCCATCTGAAGCTGAATCTGGCAGGCAATGTGAAGGGCCACAAGAGGGGCTGCCACAAATAAAGCAGCAGGTCCTTACTGTAAGGTTTGTGTAGAGGTTGTCTGGGGGTTCTAGGTGCTGGGTTTCGGGGTTCTAGGAATCGGGTTTCGGGGTTCTAGGTGTCGTGTCTGGGGGTTCTAGGTACCCTGTCTTGGGGTTCTAAGTGTCAGGTTTTGGGGTTATTGGTGTCATGTCTGGGGGATCTAGGTGTCGGGTTTCGGGGTTCTAGGGACCGTGTCTGGAGGTTCTAGGGAGCGTGTCTGGGGGTTCCAGGTGTCATGATTGGGGGTTCTAGGTGTCAGCTTTCGGGGTTCTAGGTGCTGTGACTTGGGGTTCTAGGTGCTGTGACTTGGGGTTCTAGGTGTCGTGACATGGGGTTCTAGGTGCTGTGACTTGGGGTTCTAGGTGCTGTGACTTGGGGTTCTAGGTGTCGTGACATGGGGTTCTAGGTGTCGGGTTTCGGGGTTCTAGGTAACCTGACTTGGGGTTCTAGGTGTCGGGTTTTGGGGTTCTAGGTGTCGGGTTTTGGGGTTCTAGGTGTCGTGACTTCGGGGTTCTAGGTAACCTGACTTGGGGTTCTAGGTGTCGGGTTTTGGGGTTCTAGGTAACCTGACTTGGGGTTCTAGGTAACCTGACTTGGGGTTCTAGGTAACCTGACTTGGGGTTCTAGGTAACCTGACTTGGGGTTCTAGGTGTCGAGTTTTGGGGTTCTAGGTAACCTGACTTGGGGTTCTAGGTGTCGGGTTTTGGGGTTCTAGGCAACCTGACATGGGGTTCTAGGTAACATGACTTGGGGTTCTAGGTGTCGGGTTTCGGGGTTCTAGGTAACCTGACTTGGGGTTCTAGGTGTCGGGTTTTGGGGTTCTAGGTAACCTGACTTGGGGTTCTAGGTGTCGGGTTTTGGGGTTCTAGGTGTCGTGACTTGGGGTTCTAGGTAACCTGACTTGGGGTTCTAGGTGTCGTGACTTAGGGTTCTAGGTAACCTGACTTGGGGTTCTAGGTGTCGTGACTTGGGGTTCTAGGTAACCTGACTTGGGGTTCTAGGTGTCGGGTTTTGGGGTTCTAGGTAACCTGACTTGGGGTTCTAGGTGTCGGGTTTCGGGGTTCTAGGTAACCTGACTTGGGGTTCTTGGTGTCGCGTCTGGGGGGTGTTAGGTGTCACATTTCGGGGTGTTGGGTGTCGAGTCTGGGGCTTCTAGGTTTCGGGTTTCGAGGTTCTAGTTGTCAATGGGCATTTTGTGATACAAAACTCTGTCCTCTGTCCAGCCAGAAGAAAAGACTAAATTTATCAACTGTGACTTCTATCCACTGTCACTGAATCCAACCAATATGAAGGAGACAAGTAATTATTTTTAAATATGAGGCTATTCAGTACAGAAAT